AGAATATATAACAGATAAGAAAATTAATGGTAGAGCACTAATAGGATTGCACGGACACAATTACTAAAAAGATATGGTTTGAATTTTGAAATTATTATTTGAGATTAAGGTAACGGATAACGTAAGATCTAAACGTACTTGTTTAATAAAATTTGAATCAGTGCCTACAATTTGTGACAATCAGAATGTCAGAATTAGTATTATCACAGGCAAAATGGTTCATGTTTAACCATTTGAATATAAAAATAAAAGAATTAAGTCTCCGCGTTACTTATAGCAAACCCCTGGTGTTATTTGAATGGCGAATAGTTAGGGACGTTGCTTAGCATAGAGTGCAAAAAAGTGAAAAATTTAAGTAAAGTAAAACCGGTTACGTAAATGATACATATGATGTGAAATAATTTGACGATGTTTTGTTTTTGTTTCAAAGGCAAATTAAATTTTTTTTTTCAAGATTTTCATATTTTACTGCGATAATATTTATGTAATGTTAGTAAGTTCCCATTATTGTGCGATTGTACAGTGTACTACAACACCTACATATAGGATTCAGATACTGGCTAGTATTAACAAAACATCCTTTAAATTAAAAGAGCAAGTTATTGAATGAAATTAAACAACACGACCAATGGAATTAATTATAATGACATTCTTGAGGCGAATTTACTAGCAGGAAATTGTAATTTTATCTAACGGTTGATAATCTCAGAATACCTAGAAGTTCATAATGTTCAAGATGAAAACCAAGGGGTTAACTTACTTGTTTGTTTGTTTTCAGTAATGAAAATGGCATATACAGTGACATTTTCATAAATAATGTAAAGATTATGAATTCTAATAGTGTTTTCCTTTTTCTGTTAGTCAAGTGACGCGTATATATCACAAACGGGTTTGAAGATATTTCATCTTGGGAAAAAGTATTGAGACATGGCAACACGCCTTGGGGATCGGCCAGACAAAAAGAATTCCCTAAATCACAGTTGATGAGAAAAATATCATAGAAAGCTCGAGAGCAAATTTTCGTTTTAAATATTTTATACATTGAACAACAGCTACATGCACTCCAAAGAAGTTGAATATTGAGCAGTTTCTGCCAAGAAATTGCTGACTAAACGTATTGTTATGATAACCAACTGCAATAAAAACATCACCTTTAACACAATAACATTGTTTTGTGAGTGATATTTAGTGATATTGAAAATCAATATTGGTGTTATAGGATTATGTACGTAAGAGCTACAACATACGTATTCACGCAACTAATAACAACTCTGCTACAAACGCCTACATTTTGACTCTTTATTCAGATAAATTTGCTGAAAGCGCAATCCTAGTTCACACCAATAGAATCAATTTTAAGCCGCCATTGGTCTTTAAATATATTGAAATATACCTATACTTAAAACTTGCATCAAAGAGAAAAAGGCCAGTAGCATGATTCGAGAATGAGACTAAAGTCATATTACTCTTGCACGTTGGCAAAAATATTAGAACATGTCAACATTGCACTGGAAATCAGCTAGCTGATAAGAAAATATTTTTTTTAAAGCTCGGGTAGTGCAAAATATCAGTTTTTTTTTATTTCTTTATATATGGAGCATTTCCTATCAAAAAATAGCGGACAAAAGGTATTGTTATGGTAATCAACTGCAATGAAATCATTATCTCAGTGTTTTTTATCATCTGCAGTTCCGGTAAACGTATGAAATCATCATCTTTGTGTTTACTATCATCTGCAGTTTCGATACTTCAATATTTCAAAACACAATAACATTATTTTGTGAGTGATGTTTGAGAGAATCGAAGATCAATATTTATGGATAGGATTATGCGCGTTAGAGTAACAGCTTCTGTTTTTACGCAACTAATAACATTTCCGCTGCAAACGCCTCAATTGTGAAGCGTTTAAAAAAATTCAAAATATTTTTTGATAAGTTTGATGAAAGCACGGTTGAAAACTACTTGTAACAAAGAGAAAAATAAAATGTTTAATGGGAATTAACGTCTAGTCTAACGGTAGCACATATTAAAATACTTTTAGGGCCAGAATCAAAGAATATATATTATCTATATCTGATATAAAACAAGTTAAGTAACATTTGCCCACGGGAAATACTACACAAGCATCAATTGGAAATAAAACTTTCATGCTGCAGCCAATACCTTCGTTATCCATTATACTAATTAGCCTAATTCACTCACTTTACTACTTAATCGTTTACACATCAGGTTCGAATGTAACATTTAAGTTTAGGAATGCATGAAAGTTGGCATTAGTTCACTACATAGTTTACATGTTTAGATGCCAGTTGTAACAGATGATTGCAATTTGTAATATTTTGCATGATCCTGAGCAAATTGAGATTTTCCTATTTTGACACGACAATATTATACCGAACGTCAATTACGTAGGCTTTAATTACGCATTTCATAATAAACACAATAGCTCTTTCACGCAGCTTGCAGGCCAATGTATGAATATTAAATAGTGCACAGAACGAAACCTCTAAGCATTACACATAAAGGGGTCATGTAACGTGCTTGACACTGTCCCACGTTTGACTGCTTGTAATTTTATTACTGAATAAAATGGGAAACCCCAGCAATTGTGCTACTGAATGAAATGGGAACCTAATCGGAAATTGGTCATACTGCGTCAAGTTATACATAAGACGCTGCATACGGTATTTCAAAGAAATAATAGATTTGATTTTGGGCTAGTTGAATTGTTTCCTTGAACTCAGCATGCGAAACCAAATGAATTTCAAGCTTAGTTCGTTTGCCATTAGTTTCATAATGCTGTTGTTAATAGTCGATTTGGTTTGATGTTCAGGATCAAAGTTGTTTTTGTTATAAACTGTTATAATGTTATTCTATAGTGGAGTAGATTAGTACATAGCTCTATAGTACAAGGGTGTGCCACCTTTAATACAGTAGAGCCACATTTAGATAACTGGGAGCAATCACGAGCCGCACTTTTTTACCACAAGCTTTCAAGTAGTTGCAGGCACAAAAATGTTGGTTATTTATCTTTTGACATTCGTTGTTCGCTTCGCACAAGCTAGCTGTTAGCGCATTGTAACGTCATACAATTGGATAGGTATAGGCTTTGCAACGCAAAGAGATTGAGATAACTCGCGTGAATCAGATAAAACGGAATTAGAATTTCGTTAAGCGGGACGCACACAACTCAAAATTGCCACGTCTCTACTGGCTGCACAATTATACCTTGTGGGACGCATTTGGCCCGCGGGCCGCAGGTTGCACAGCCTTGCTATAGGATAGCTTAGCCTTAGAATACTGGATTTTTCTGGGAGCCATATGCCATCATCAAAAGAGCCATCCATGGCTCGCGAGCCATGGGTTCCGGACCCCTGTGTTAATATATGTTGCAGTCAGTTCTTTTATTATTTCGAATACTTTTTCTTTTTCATACATGAGACACAACTAAGCTTTAATATAAAGTAGAGTAGGACAATGACATTTGGAATACGGTGTCTCTTTCATACGTTACAAAATAATAAATTGTTAAATACGTAGAATGAGCCAGGTTTAATCAAATTCTCAATACTTTATTAATTACTAATCTGTCAAGTCAATTTTTTGCTATTTTGCAAAAAAGTTGCTCAAAGGAAGATAACGTACGCTTACGCAGAAGTTAAAAATATTGACATTTCGGCAAGTACAAAACAGATCACAGCGATGTGTAAAGTTACTGAATGCACACAGAATCATGGTGGTGCATTAAGCGCCAATAAATATCAGCTGGCATCAGTTCAAGCTAATTTGATGAAGAGCTAGGTATTCAATTCTGTATAACTGAAATTATGAAAAAGCGAGGCATGATAGATTTATGTGTTTTTGTCGTTTAAATGAGCCACATCTATTGGCATTTGCAATACCGTTACTTTGTCATATATCAGTTATATCAGACTGTTGAAAATTTCAATAATGTGCCTTCTTTATATATTATGAATCACTTATCTGTTTAATAGGTTGTATAAGAGTATAAAAGAACTTTAGATATTTAAAGGCAGATGAGATGATCTATACGCTAGCAGTGGTTTTAAAACGGGAATCCACGGCACTTTTAGGTTCCGTCAGTACATTACAGCGTTTTCGCAAGTTTACATTTAAATCCGAGAGTGTATTGTTTCAATATAATACCTGTTATATTAGGTTTGAAACTATTATTAAACTTGCAAACGTTAATATTCAAGATAATTTTGTTTTGCCAGTATTAGGTTTATTTTCATTTATACTTATGGTTCATACAATTGAGACAACAAAAGACAATAAACCTGTTGTACAGAGGTTTATCGAACGTCCTGATTGTGTCGTTGGGTAACGCTCCACTAAAAAGGATGGAAACCACGAAGCTATGGAGAATTATTTTTAGCAACTGTTTGATTCTACTCTTTTTTCCTGTCCATGCAATGACGCAAAGTAAGTAACAGATTCTCAAGTTTAAATTCCTATTAAGTTTTCAAATGTATAACTAGGCCTGGCCAATATGAATCGAATCGAATTGCCGCCGATTTTTTAAGCGAAATGTTGAGGTGTTCCGCTCAATTATTTTATTGATGCCTCAATTTTAACACGAAATGCTGACTCTTTGTTATAGCGAGTCAATGATGAAACAGCTTTCTTATTGTGTGCGACAATCCACCGAATTAATTGAGTTATGTTTAATTAATTAGGTTTTCAGTAATTTGTGTGCCTGGAATACCCATTACAGTGAAAAAACACATACAATTACGTATGGGATTCGATTTGAATAAAATATTCGATTCTGAAGTCATCGGGTAGTTGTAAATGTCCATATCTAATTACAACTAAATATAGCAGCTCGTAACACTGATGATAAGGATGAAAAGTTGCAAAGCGGAGTTTCTAATGTCTTGCCTTAAAATTTAGAAGCAGACAGCATGATTTTTTACCAAGACATGGAACTGTATTTTAATCATATGACTTTGAAAACTCGCGGCGAGAGTAAGAAAATGTGCGAAGAAAGAGGGTCGGAATTAGTTACAATAAAAGACTCACAAATGAACGAGGCCATTGTACGAGAGCTCGATAGAGTGTGAGTATTAGTAAGTCTTCAACTATGTCTTAACTCTATGTGATAAAAACCATGCACCAAGCAACAAACAGTCTGGTTTGTGACGGTTCAATCTTCAAAAAAGTTACTTTATGAAACTTTCCCCCAAAGCAATTTTTCTAACGAATCAATTATCAGGGTTCATGAGCTATCATCTGGAAATGGAAAGTTTGCTTATTGAGGAGTGGGAAATTAAGATATATTGGGTTTAAGCGAGTTATTCTCATAATAAAGGCACTGATGTCCATCAAAGATTGCTCAAAATGGCAAACAAATTTAGCTTTATATGCTGATTTTCGTAGCCTTGTCGGGTTTAGTACCATTTCGACGCCACTGTTAGGAATCACTGAACGACGGCGGATCATTTTCATTTTTTCAAGCTTTAAAGCTTCACTGACTTTCAATTTCAAAGAAAATTTTTTTAAATCCCCGAGTTTGGCGGAAATCTTCAATCCACAGTCATAATAAATATTTGGATCTATTGTTGTTGTATTTGTCAACACATTCGAATTAAGCAGAAAAGCTACTTCCAGCATTCAAATTTCCAATAATATTTTTAAACATTCAAAAAAGTTATTGCAACAGAGCAAACTCAAAATGGCAAAAGAGTCAAAATATCCAGTCGTCCTAAGACACTTAAAATATAAAAGCTGGAAAATGGTGATCAGAAGTGTTTGTGAATATTACTCGACACAAAAAAGTCAACAACTCTGTCATAGAGAAGCTAAACGCAAGAAAATTCCAGAATCTAGAGTTTTTAAGATAGGTATTCAAAACTGAAATTTTACTGTGACGTGAGAACATCTCGTACCAGAAAGAGCCACCTGCCAACATGTGACAATAACCAAAAACATGTTTAACAATAACGGGGAGTATATTTCGAAACCAGACTCGAGTTCATGAATACAATGACCTCAAGCTCAAATAAACATAAAAAGTCTAATGTCTTAATAATATATAAGGTTCTGAAAATTTTGTCCGATTAAGATATTTACTCTGATGTTTGTGTTTTTTGAACTACGTTAATTAATCTTTAAGAAAAGTTTTAAGTGTTTTGACAATATTTGCACTCAGAATATTTTCGTATCTTAATTGATTTTTGTGTAAAAGTGGTATTTGTTGTACTTTGTTTAGTAATAACGAGAACATGATTAAAATTTAAAAAATATTTATTTAGGCAAACAAGTTCAAGTAAAGTTGGATATAAACGATACTTTATCGGTCTGAACGATATCAAGAATGAGGGGAAATGGGTTTGGTCAGATGGCACAAGAGCAAGTTACACCAACTGGTAAGTTAATGCATATATGTAACGTAAACTCGAATATCAATTTAAGTCAAATAACTACATCAGATACGTAAGCTTATGATGAAATTACCAATTCGCCCTCGATTCAGAAACTATTTCATTTATCGAATTATCGGGGTAAAATTGTAATCGGAGAAGTGTGCATTGAGACATTTATTTGATGTATGTGGCACTAAATTTTCTAGTAATACGCTCAATAAATACTATTTTATGCTTGCTACATAATTTAAAACCAGTATGTCGCATTGTGTCCGAAATAGCGACTTAAAATTTCTATCCAAGATTAAGCAGCACCCGAAGTTATTGTATTTAAGGACAATATGACGAAAAATTGCTCACGTGTTTTTTTTTGTTATCATATTCGTGCTTTTCGTAGCACCAAGTTCGCTCAGCAAAAGAATGAACAAACGCGATTGAGGCGGCAGTGATTGACGAAATACAGTAACACAAAAATGGAATTAATATCGGGTCCTATGAGATTCAGAATCATTTTGAAAAAAGTGATAGCTGACAAAAGTACTGAAAATTTGAAACCGTTTGCTTCATTATTCGCGATAAAATGCATTTTTCCACATTCAAAAAGCAGCCCCAACAACAAGACAAACAATAATACCAACAACGATTTAATAAAACGAGGATTGAGCTGGCCTCATCCTCCATTGTGATAATACCATACATTATTAAGATATTTATAATTCTTCAATGTTTGACCTTATGTAGAGGATGTTTTTTGCAGGAAAGAATTAGAGGAGAAAAGATAATATACTTAGTTTATACTTTTCCTCTAGTATTAGTATTTATATCATCGTCATGTAATGCGAAATCGTTATATATAGTCTTTAGACCTTTTTACTCCACACTTACATGGCCCACCAGTCTAGTTGGGCAACATTTTGGCCTCTAGTTTAAAAACCTTGCTCACACCTGCGACTTGGCCTGTGTTGGCTTGCAACTCTTTTAACTATTTCCAGTTTTAGTTCATCCCGGCATACCTCGCATGACCAATAGTTGGCGTATGTATCAAAATTGGACAATATGCATAGCTATATTTCATGTTAAGTGTTTTCATATTTTGAGATATTTTACAGGAGAACTGATGGTGGGGATGAACCAAGTAAGGGACAAAACAGGAATGAAAACTGTGCAATTGCATTGGAAAAAAAATATGATCATACGTGGGCTGATGTTTCTTGCAGTGCGAAGTATCTCAGCATTTGTCAAAAAAGTAAATATAGTTTTATGGCATGTTCGAAAGCGCCAGCTTAATTACTTTGAATGATTCATTCAGTTTTCACCAATGATCATCTGAACTAAACCCCACCTCGCAAATGTGTCTATTCAATAGTTTTGAGCATAAACTATAAACTTCTATTAAAATCACTATAAATAATCTAAACAAATGAAATGCGTTGAAATTATTACAATCAGAGCAAAAGAAATAAATTTGATTGGAATCGCATTATGTTCAATATTTAGCAGATTAAATTTAATTCACTTTGCACAATCTATTTTTTTGAGATCTCTATTTTTGTTGTACGAAAACGCGGTCAAATAACTTTAGCTCCTCAAAATGCATCCGCATCGAGATTATAGATTAGTAGTATAGACAAGCTAAATTTAACATTAGATTATTACGAAGAATTTGATCATGAGAGCATAAATTTAAGCAGCTCTAATCATTAATCATTAAGCAAGCTATGTTAAGTCCACCACTCCAACTCTCACAGATCGAACAACAATTAATTCCTGTAAAAATTCCTGTTTTGACTTTTACTCCTATTGCGTACATTTATCGCGACTTTCGTATCTCCACAAAAGTCATAAGATTTCAACCGGAATGTTTATCCGAGATATCAAAGAGACGTTTTAAATAAGAACAAATCCCTACCCTCAAACAAAAATATTAAAACCCAATATATTTATTATTCATATTGTCTTTGAAGGAAGTTGGGAAAATGTTTAAACGAGCTGAACTCGAGCGAAAAACATGACATAACTTGGCCCAACACACTGGAATATATAAATCCTTAACATAAGAGCTAATGTATGTTTTCCATCTTCCTGCGAAAGAAAAATGACTGAAGCCTAATATTTTTTTTTTGGTTTCATATGAAATCACTATCGTTAGTTCTTCATAAATATCTTAAAAAAAATAATTTTTGTTGGTCCAACAAGCTACAGATGAAAATTATCCCTCGGCGCTTCTTCGTTGTCGTTTAGCGGTAAAATGCGGTATAATGTAAAATTGGCATGCTACACTATATAATCCCATGCAAATGTTTTGAAAGTTCTACAATGCTTCACATGCTTCCGTCTTAACTGTAATTATATGCAGGGTGAGCATTCCACATGAATGATACGTGGAGAATTTTTATTTATTTCAATTTTCATTTTCAAAACCACAATGACTAGTCACACTGTTCAAATATTTCTTTTTTTCAATTAAGTTCCGCTCTCATTTAAAAATTTTCATGCAATAAACACAAATTTAATGCTTTAGTATTTGAATCTGATCACTAATTGAATTCATCTGAATACTAACTGTTGTATGATAATTCCAAAGTATTATAAAAAAAAAATGTAAAATGAGCTGAGTGCTAACTGCAAACGCATTAAAGGACCTCAAAAGGGGGAATGTCGGAAATTAATAAATGTGCACAAATAATTGACCATCAGGCCACTGTGTTATTTGTGAATATTTTTGGCAAAACTAATTACTAAAATAGAATCGATTCGGAAAAAAATGAACACACGATGATGTTTCAGAGATAAAATATGCCAATATTTATTGTCAGGTCTATAGTCATTATATCTGAAACTTTGTCTTTTGCTTATCTTTTCCATTTTGTAGGTAAATCCTTAAATGCAACAACATTCTTTTTTTTCAATGATTTTATTGCAAAAATATATGATGTTTAGCAATAGGCTAATTCACGTTTGCCAAGATTTCATTAATTCAGCATATACTAAAAACCGAGACCGCTGGGTATAAATTTGTACTCCGTTTTACGATATCTAGGAATACCAAATCAGAAATTCAACTATGACTTCGTTAGAAGTGGACTTTTAGAATCGAATATGCGAACTGAATCGAATAGTAAATTTTTCGAATCGGTCCAGACGAAAATTTCGAATTGCCGCCATTTTTTTGAGGTGGAGGTAAATCGCTCAATTTTTTTATTGATGCCTTTTTTTAATATGAAATTCTGACTCTCCTTTTTCTAGTGAGTCATTGAGTCATTTCCCATTGGGTGTGACATGGATTGTATGTATTTAGTAATTCCGTACACCTATTACACTGATAAATTTACATACAACTACATATCTATCAAGCATTCGAGATTCGAATAAAGTATTCGATTCAAGTTTAAAATCATCGAATATTCAAAAATGTCCATACTTAATTACTCTGACCGCAGCTTCCAGGTCCAAGAAACTTGTGGTGATATAAATTTATAGGTGATTTCTTAATGTCTTGCATTCATTTAGATGTAAACAACATCATCTTTTACCAAGACACGGAACTGTATTTTAATCATTTGACGTTGAGAAATTACACCCAGAGTAAGAAGGCTTGCGAAGAAAGAGGATCGAAATTAGTTACGATAAAAGATTCAAAAATCAACGACGTTATCATACGTGGGCTAAACACAGAGTAAGCTTTATGGATTTTTTATTCTTCCAACTCTATGTGACACTGTTTATCCCTCCTACAGACACATGACATCATCTCTTCTAGGTAAAAACGTGTAAGCAAATATTGGTATTTTTGACGCTACAAATTTCCGCAATGTAGGTCAAGAAGTTAGGGTCGGTTTCTATAAAATTTAATAGAGCAAACTAAGAGTGAAGCTAGATGAACCGGACGTTACGATATCATTAACATTCTTTCTTGTAACCGAGATGTAAATACGCGTTGGCCCTAAACATTTTAATTCAACACTATACCATGAAAAAAACTTTATAGAAGGAAATATTTATATTACAGATTTCTACAGCAACAGTCTATTTCGAGCTAAACAAACCTTATCAACATAACCTAATCAGAGTTTTTATTAACTCTTCAACCGTCGGCGTATGCCTATTTGTCAATTTTAAATTTATCTCGAAAGATATTTTATTGTGTGAAAAACACCACGTCAATAGATGAAATCGTTTACAAAAATGTTTTTTCTATCTTGGGCATCAAAATTCTCATTGGGGTTTTCAAGTATTTTTCGCATTAACACACAACTTTGTATGGTAATAAAAAACACGTGTATGATTTGATTTACACAAGAAAATATTTACACAGGCAAGCTAGTGCAGAACAACGATATCTCATCAGTTTGAACGACATCGAGAATGAAACAGAATGGGTTTGGTCAGAGGGTACAAAAGCAACTTATACCAACTGGTAAGTATAAATTGTATTGTTTAATTAAGTATTTGTTATCGCGCTTGAATATAAAAAAGCAAAGTACACCACTTATGTACAAGGAAAGAGTAAATCACTTTCCCCTTTCTCATAATAAAAATCGTCCCATGTCATGGTGAATAATAGTAATTGTTAATGTATACTTAATATATCCTTGCTAAAGGTTTTTGCCCGAAAGGAAGTTTAAACAAAAAAATGGACCTCATTCCGCTATACAGTTTCTTTCGTATGTGTTTAACTCTGACATTTCTCCAAGATTAAATGAATGAGCACGATGACGAATGTTTATGTTGAAGTCGTAAATGAGTAATTCCTTTTCATTCTCTTTATATTTTCTAGGCAAAACAACATATACAATAAACAAATTCAAAACAATATTCTATTTTAATTATAACTTGTGGCCAGGACTTCCGCTTTGTAGAATTTCCTTTTCCCTTATTAACTGCTCTTTAGCAGTGATAACATATTTATTTCTTTTCAAGTCTTATGTCAATGACTACCTAATGAGATATCACACATCCGCGAATGTTTGATTAAACATCTTAGAATAAGAAGAATAGAAAATAATGTACTTAGTTCAGGACTCGGTATTTTGTTTGATAAAATAGACCAAGATATCTTTGATAATGTATGTTGATGTATTTTGCGAAACTGTGTACATTGGACCAATACAAGTGTCATCATATTTTGCACCTTTTTACAGGTATAGTGTTTCTGGGTGGATAGAACCAAGTAACCCTATAAACCGAGAAGAAGATTGTGTAATTATGTTGGAAAAAAAATATGACCGAAAGTGGGCTGATGTTACTTGCAGTGAGAAGTATCGCAGCATTTGTCAAAAAAGTAATGATGCTTAATTTGTGATTTCAGTCATTGCATAGTTGCCCGAATCAGCCACGATTGTCTAGCAATGTATATGAACAAGGACTTCAATCATCAAGGGGCCGAACAAATAAAATCGATTAAAATTAGTACAATCGAAGTGAAAATTCATTTGATTCAAAATTACATGTTCATCAGGTTTCATGCCTATTGGCAGACTTCGAAACGAGCGTTACTTTGAAAATGAAATTAGATATTATGCTCTTAAAAACTATGTAAACTTATGCAAATAGTTGAAGGTTTACCAAAAATATTTTGTGCAAGGTGCAATGCGCGTTTTACTCGAGTATTTGATTTAATCACATTTAAATTAAAAAAAAAATCGATTTAAATAAATGTTGACCTAGCCGAGAGTTTATGGACTTTCAATGTTTTATTGTGTGCACGAAGACAGGATTACAGCGGTTTTGGTTTTCGAAAATAGGGCCAAGCTGAAAACAAAGTAAAACAATTTTGTGTTTTACTTTAAACAGAACTCATATTCAACGAGAGAGGAAATTGCAAATATCATTTCAACTACTTGGACAAAAGAACTTTTTACTACGCTCAGACATATTGCTCCAAATTGGATATTAATGCAACCCTTGCAATGATCAAAACAGAAGAAATTCATCAATACATAACAGAAGCGATTAAAACAAGATTTCGTTTAGTAAATAATATGACTTTCTGGGTCGGTGCAAAGAAACACAGTAGTGATTCATGGAGATTCATTGACAGCACGCCATTCTCTGTTGGTGGATTTGAAAAGTGGGCAAATAATCAACCGGGATCTGGAAATAAAGTATATCTCAATACGAGTGTTGAAGAATCAAACACAGATCTACTATGGTTTTCTGGAACAAATGATGATAAAAGAGGTTTTATCTGTGAATTACCAGGTTCGTGCAAAAGGTCACTGCGGCTGCATTGCAGCATTTGTATTGGTTTGCTGTAACCGAAACAAATGCATAATGAATATTAGGTATTATAGGTAGTTAGAGACTGGGTTAAACATTTAAAATTAGTCTAAAATCTCACTCTCATTTTAAAAAACTTTGAAGTGAAATTATAAAAGGTAAATTATATATAACTGAATTCTCATACACTGGTTAAATTTTGCCCTAATGATGTTAATTGTTACGCACACAATTTAAGAATCATTTCGATAAGTGTATATAATTCGCATTGGACAAAATTTTTATTTCATTACCAAAGGTGTTTTAGATTTTTCCAAAATTCTAGAATTCTAATTTCTCGTTCTAACCTGTTATATTAATTACCTTTATTCTAATGATGAAGACAGGTGGGTGTCTTTTTTTGTTGCAATCTATTTTGCTAAATCAATCTATAACAATTTTCTTACTTAATCTATATCAATCCATCACTATATTAATAATTGTTGTTTTATATCTTAGTCATTGATCCTTGTCACTCAACACCATGTAAGAATGGAGGAAGTTGTAGAAGTACCATCGGGTGTCAGATGGAATGTAGTTGTGACAACGGATACAGCGGAACATATTGTGGGCATGGTGAGAAATCAATTTTATTATAAAAAAATGTAATTTGTATCAAACACACCAGAAATCAAGCATATATATATAGAGAGAGATATGTATATTGTTATATATCGTCACGCTAATAACTGAATTGCGTAAGTCATTTCTGGCGATTTCGAGTTTTTTATAAAATGGGTATTTATGTAATGCTGCGCACCTGTCTGTTAACTCAGATTTTATTTCAAGAATTCCGAAACCCATAAAAATGGAGATTTAGTATGACATGCACATTTGTGCAATTGTTTCGTCATAATGAATTATCATTGTTACCGCAGGACTATTGTGACGTTACAAAGGCAAAATAACCTCAGCTAAGTATTTTCGAGTTTTTGCATCTCGGATTCTAGCTTAGCGCGTATTAATTTGAATTTATGTGATATTCACTGTCCGAGTCCAATTCACCTTGGTTGGCTTTTATATTGGGTGCATTGCGATTTTATTCTTTATATTTAATCTTAGTCTTACTTCGGTGGGTGTGCAGAACGTGTTATATTGATGAAATATATATTTTTGAACATAAAAAAAATGTAATTGAAACTGATTAGCTATTTTGGGGATTAGACATTGTAGATACTGAGAATTACATTCGTTTTTCGAATGTTTAGTTTCAGGACTGGTGCATATAGTAAAGTTGCAAAATTGCGTATGTCCCCAAGTCATACCCACATTTCTGCCTAAGTCACAGTGCGCCATTATGACGTCACTTAACTGCGTCATACAAATTAACTTAAATCCGGCTAAGATCAAAATATTGAACCATGGCAAATTATTGACTCTCAATGGCATAACAATATCATTAGGAAGTTTTTTACGTTTTTCTCAAAACTGCTAAAAATGACTTACGCAATTCGGTTATTAGCGTGACGATATGTATATTGTAAGGTAATTCATTGTTGCTCGTTGCATAATTCATATCTTTCAAAGCATTTGAATGGTTTATTTAAAGTAAGCAACAGGAATCGTTCAAATTGTTGAATATTGTAATGAACCCAATTGACTAATATAAATTTAATTTAAAATAATTGCCGTTAAACTGAAGTGAACAAAATGAATATTCAGTTTTGTCCGTTTAAATATTTGATCGTGGACTCATTTTTATTGTAGACAATTTTGTACGACCGGTTTGTCATAGTTGGTTCAGATTGATGGTTGGCTTTATGCAATCGTATGGGCATAGTGTGTGCATAACCTTTTATTATCAAACACCCCAATTTTCCTCAAACATACTTAAACTGAACACTTTTTCATTACTTGTTTCTAATTTTAGACAAATTGTCCATCACTGCGACTCAATCGAATAATATTACTCTCATTGGCGAATCAGTGCGAATAACTCTTGAAGTTGTGTCTGAACTCGGGGAAGTCGAAATCAAACTTTACAAAACTGGAAATTCAAATGTCCTAAATAAAACATCAGTCGGAAATGGAAGCGTTAACTTCAAAATAGGCCCGATGCGTTCAGCTTCTGAAGGGCAAGAATACACTTTCAAAGCAGTGGCAGGAGATGTTAAACGAATTGTTAACGTAACGATAGTTGTTCACGGTAAGCATACTTACAATCTCCCATAAAAATCGCACAAGGTTATGTGGCAAGTGACTTTATAAAATCCATATTCTCGGCACATTGAAAGATAAACAATTGATAGATTGGGAGGTCTTTGTTTTTATCAAACGTGTTACCTATTGTTTTTGTATTTTAGACAATTTTTCTTTTCTGTCGTTGAATTTCATTAAAAAATTATTACTGCTAATCTCCAATTGAACGAATTGTTGGGAATATTAAACTTCGAATAAAACGTTAAGAAAACTCATAGAATTCGGGCAATTTATAAAGTTATTTATAATTGAATACTATAGAAGTAACAATGTTTACATTCTCATTCATTAGCATTTTAACATTAACGATATTCTTTCAATTACTACAGAGAAAGCAAATATCACCGATATCATTCCATCCCGTATTGCGATTCCATCAAACCAGAACCAAACAATTACTTGCTACGCTACCGGATTCCCTAGTCCTTCTGTGCTATGGTATTTTGGGGAAGAAGTCGTCCGCAGGAATACGATTTCTGATGTTCACCAGTTGAATTCCTCAGACAAATCCATATTATATTTCAAAAGTCCAGGCGTTGAAGCCAAATTGCACGCTGGAGTCTATACTTGTCGCGTGACAAATTACGTAGGTGAAGACCAAACTAAAGCCGGAAATAACAGAATGGCTAAAGGTAAAATTCATTTAGAGGAACTTTTCCATGAGTTTTATGTCATAAAGTCCAAAATAGATGTGTTTTTTTCTTGAAAACAAACGTTCTCAATGACCTTTTAGAAAATACTATACTTTACTTCGCTCCCAATTCATTTATTTAATTCGATATTTCAATATTTTTTTTATTTATTATTTCAGTTATTGAAATGCCTGAATACTCGGCATCATCAACTAACTGTAGTTCAGGTATTGAAGTCAGGTGGATTCCCGGTGTGGAAGCAACTCATATAAAACACAAGTATAGCATTATTCGTTTGAATTTGTATTAATTTATTATTGGGATGTAATTTATTTTTGAGGGTATTTCCTGTACATTGTTTCATAAATGTATATAAAAGCTTATAAAAATTGCGGGGTTTAGCTACACTATATTAGTACATTAATTCAACATGAATCATTCGGTTACCATTAGATTTTGATTGAGAATGGCATTCTTTTTTTGAACAGGATCACTCTATTGGGAGAGCGCGACAATAAAACGATTGAGGTCACCCCATATGATAATCAAGTGAATACAACTATTTTCACAAACATGACTCAACAATCGCTGTATACTGTGAAGGTATTGTCAACAATTTAATATGCCTAAAATATTAGTCTGATAAAAATAATAATGTTGTACAAGTTGTATTAGTGTTTACTATTAGTACATAAACTTGCTTTCAAGAACCATTTCATCTGTGTTACGTTTGTTTGATAAGAAAAATATCACTACCAAAACATGACCCAAACTAGATAAAATTCAACTGATTACATCAAATATTTGGCTGTTTATACAATAATTTTATCAATCCAACTGATTTCTGTTATTAACTACGACGCCATGATCAAGCACTATTTCAATGTTTCACTTGACGCTCACGACAGTACAATTAATCTGAGTTTTATATATAAAAAGGCATGTTGTATATCTGGATAACTGAAAGACTGACATTTGTTACAATTCATTGTAGATGTCACTCTGTCTCGAAACATGCATACCGAACCCCGGAAAAGGAGTCAAAGTGAAAACAGGCATCGATCAAGCTGGTGTGATACACGATATCAAACTCGAAGAGCATGTGGTCGATAAAACATGTAAGATCTCATGGTCAAACACAAACGATTCGGAATACGTCACTGGCTTCAAGGCAAGTTGTTTTTAATTTTTCCTATAGGAAAGAGTGATCTAATATTCTGGTTCCCCGTTCAATTCAAACTGTTTGTTCTTGACCAGCTGAAACCGTGTACAATAGGACTCATATGTTACATTATGAGTCGAGGAAATTGGCAAATCATATAGTACATGTTTCACTGTAAATTGAAGACAAAATAGAACAACGTGGATCCAAAATTTAAGATACAAATTATTAGAAAGAGACTGATTTTTGCTGAGATTTTTTTGTGACATTTCATACAATTAAATGAATCATGCCAGAGAAACAGAAGGAATGAAAATGAATATAAAAATCCATTGTAGGTTTATTGAGGAACTAAAATGGTCCCATATGCAACATTCCTTCATGTTTTTTTTTTATTTAATAGGTTTCAGCTTATTCAACTTTGGTTAAAATTGGAACTAAAGATTTGGAATCTAAGAAGTACAACGACACGTTCAATATTCCACTCAAATCGGCTCAGAATTATTCCTTCAATACCAACCCGAATAGAAACTACTCCGTATTCATTCAAGCGATTGCTTGTGATAAACCAGGAATTTTGTCCAGAGCTGTCGGCGATTGCACAAGCGATACAGAAGGTAATGGTTCAGATTTGGCAGTTGTTTACATTTCTCGGCACAAGATTTATTAAACACACAGCGGAACCATGTAGCGGTTTGCAGAATTGCTGTTGTAATGAGGGCATAAATCTTCTTTATTTTATGCCTTCTGAAATGATGGCTTTTCTTATCATAGTTAACTATTCGACAACATTTATATTATCATCCTTTATTTTTTTGACCATTTGTTGGCAATAACTCAAGATGATTCTGATATCCACGCAACGCTCTATACAAGCGAATGTACTTTGAATACCAATGATATTCATCAAAATTTTATTCACTATATGACTATGTACATACAAATTGCTGAAATTTTCATATTTTAGCTCCATCGATCGTAGGTGCGCCGAAGATATTTGAGAATGGAAGTGACACGAAAACAAGAAATATTGAAATTCCAGCCATTGACCAGAGTAATGGACCAGTCAGGTAAATAAAATATGTGTGCCTATGCATGCTACATTCGGTGTTTTTGTGAGTGTCACCATATAACTAAGGATCAAATATTGTGAAAATATATATGTAGAAATCGAGAAGCTATTATATTTCTCTAATACAGTACAAGTAATGTAAAATGTTGCTTCGAAAAATTTAGTTAGCGGCCGTTTTACCTCCTATACGTTTTTCACACTGCAAATCCCAATGAAATATTCATATACTGCTACTAACATATAAGCCATAACCATTAAATCATAAACTGATCAAATTGAAAGCTCTTCATCTGGTGAATCATTCACTATATTTTGGTATGAAATTTTAATTCACCGGCCATGGTTTAAAAATGTTCGTTTAATTTTCAGTTGCATCTTTGTTATTGTTGGCATTTATAAACAAAAACAGAACAAGCATTCCTTCATTAACTTTACAATTGAGGATTTGACGAAGGCCGAGGCAAATTCGAAATTATCCAAACCACATGTGGGCATGAAATACATTGCCATAGCAAGGTTCGTACGCACTTGCAGCATATCAAGTTTGTAAGTTGATGAAAACGTTCATGTAGTAAATAAACATAAATATGATTTGAATACAACATTTTTTTGTTATCCGGCTATTATCCGAATATTCTGCAAATATAATATTGTTAGAAATATAATTATTAATATTTCGAACAAATATTTCTATTTTTTATTCATTTTACGGATTGTGTTACTCCTTAGCTCCAATAAGTCAACTCAGTAAGTAGGAATGACATTGACCGTTGCGTTGAATGTGTAGTCACTATTTGTCGGGTCGGGCATTTTGTTCGAATCTTCGCACAAATTTATCAATTTCTTATAACTGTTGGCACATGCTATATATAAAAGTTGATAGGGCCATTTTAGTATTTTTTATCAACTTTTGCTTAAACATTTTATTTTCATTTTAGTTTGGACGTTTCTCTATTAGCACAAGTTTTTGTATATCCCTGACTGAAATTGCTTTCATTAAATAAAAAACAAAAAGAAAGTATTTGTAGTTTCGCAGTCTAGCCTTTATTTCACTTGACCAAATTCAAATTCAATTAATACTATTTTACACGATTTATTTTTTACAGCTCAAACATTCCACTTGAAAGTATTATTGTGTCTCTTGGTGATGATGTGTCAACTTCCTGTGATATTCACAGTGCAGCACAGAACATAAAACAAAAGAAGAGAGAAATATCTCAGACGGTTCTTACTGCAAAAAATTTTCCTTTAAACGCGGGAAAATTTTACGAGTAGGATTTATTGTTCTTACCTAAATGCTTATTCAGTACAATTAAACTTACCTAACTGAATGTAAACTGAAAATTTGACATCTGAATTTATTATTATAATCGGAATTCGGAAAGTCGTAGTTGAAATGTCTTTCGCAAAGTAATCGTCAAATATCCAATATTTTAGTTATTTCGTTGTCACAACAACTCCTGGTGTGAATGGAAAGATACACCTCGGAATAAGCGCTATACAATCATTCAAAGTTGACGGTAAGAATTATATTATATGTAGCGATCCTTTCATACACTTGGAAAATGGGTTTTTTGCATTGACTGTATGTGGGAGATGTTCTACCTATTTTTAAAAGGCGCGGGAGAAGTTCCGACTTAGAAATTTCCTAATCGGAATAAACCCCCTCAATCGATTAGGCCTAACTAAATGCGCACGTAGACCCGAAATGCGCATATAAATAGTTTGGTTGGCGTGGTCGCTGTGAAAAATAAGACGGGAACACTTTTTATGACATATAGGAACATCTTCTATTTGCCATGGAACTTCGGGGAAAATGTATTTTCTTTCGCTTCAAATGCTTGTGAAAACATTAGAGTGTGTTATTTTTGCGCCATTTCAAGAAAAAAAATGTCATATGTACTAATTTACTGTAACCAAACGTACTCTTAACCCCAAATTGTTATGAAAAAGCTGGAAAAATATTTGTTACAAAAACGGATAATCTGTTCACATATCTAAAATGAAAGCAAATAGTTGGTGTAAGTTATCTATTTTGCCACAAAGTTGATTTGTCGATTATTAAATTTGCATTCTAATTCACAGCTGCTTCAACAACCTGGCTGATAGTAATTATCATTCTTGTGGTCGTTGTCATCATTGCAGGGGCAATTGTCTTGTTTGTCTATTACAAAAGGTAATTATTTATATTTGTTGGTGTCTATTCATTTCTTCCTACCGGATGCGATCATTCGTTTGCTTTATGCTTTTATTATTTTATATTTCATCATATCCAGGCACCAATCATCAAAAAATAAAACGAACGCAAGCATTGCCATGTCCGAAACTGCAACACCAGCAGGTGATGTAATATAAATTCTATTTTGGTCTCCGCCCAACATGCATAATAAATTCGAAATTTCCTCCTGCTACAATAATGAGTAATACTGTAATATCACATTTTAACATAGAGTCCCTTTTTTAAAAAAAAAAAAAAAAATTAGGGATTTTACTTCAATGTGTGATTGATTACCTGAATTAACTGTATTTACACGTTGAAAACAGTAGTTTGCTCTAGCGTTTGCGTGATTGGATAAATATCTAAGTTGTTTCTAAAAAGAGCTATTTTGGTTAGATTTGAAAGTTTGTTCAATTTTGTCTTTTAGATTTCGAAAGCGCATATGAAAACGTTCCAAAGGAGGCGGTAGAAATAGAGCCTAAAACAATAATACATGCCAAGTTACTCCTGACCACTTACAACAAAATAAAAACTAGTGACAGTCAAGAGTTTAAATTGCAATTTGAGGTAAGAGCTTCATATCGGCATTTTGAAAATCGCCACATTTTTAACATAAGCTGATGAGTATAAACAGTTAATAAATTATTTTTTTATTGGAATAGTTGTCCACGTATATATTTTATGGTTTAACTCGTGTTTTACTTGACTTTTAGTATAAACTATTTCTTTTAGAAATTGAAGAAATCTATGACGTTGATAAATGAAACAAAAGAAATCGCATCTCGTCCAAACATGATGCAAAAGAACAGATATAAAAACATTCTCCCATGTAAGCAATATAATAGTTAATACATAATATAAAACGACGGAAATTTTGCAATTTTGCAACAGTCATCGCTCATATGGTAGGTTATTGATAGGACATACTTGTAACAAAGGTAAACCGCAAGCGTCAATAGTGCAATATAGTATTGCGTTACATTTTATGAGGTATTTTCAAAAACACGGTTTCAGCTTTTCTTAAAGAAAAGGAAACTTCCAGTGCTAACCACATTGCGTCTGAAGTGCTACTGTATAACAAATACGCTTACAATGCAAACGTCAATAAATTCAGCCTAACATAATTCGATTTTTCAAACATATTTTAGACGATTCCACCCGTGTTGTATTGAGTGGAGAAGGTGACAAAGACTACATAAATGCTTCGTATATTCATGTATGTATGGTATTGGAAACATCATTTTAATATCATTCATTGTGTCAAATACTATGTGCAAGTAGCGAGATTAAAGTTTTTGAAGGGACGGATATGTTTCTCCTAAATATTGCAAGTACTGCATGGATTTGTAGACTATATGGCGACTGTGGCAACGTTTGCAAAGGAATATCAATTCATAAGCTATTTATAGTGTTTATTATTCTTACCATGTCAGTGAGTAATACTTAGTTGCATATTCAATATTTGATTGAAAAAAATGAGTTATAGACTCGAAGCTTTAACAGATTTCGGCACATTTAAAAAACGACTCGTATTGACAAGAATATCAAATCCAACTCTATTGGCATAGTCAAAGTATTATTTCACGGAAATACCGTCAGCAGCCTATATATAACGTCGTACAGTATATTTGCTTCACTGGAAATAGTTACTACTAGTTAAATCCTTTCATAGGCTTCTAATTACAATTCCACGAAGTAGGGCAGTTGGATAAACAAATAGAGGTTCATAGAAAAGTGATCGGAATTGGCACGCACAAGTTCACTAAACGCCGTTTTCTTTTAAAATAATATGACGGGTAACAGGTAATCTGATCGTAACTGGCTATTACGCAAAGTAGCAGTGCCAAGGGAGCTGATTAAAATCGGGAAACTATGAAAACACTACCGCGTCTTAACTGTTAATAACTGACCAACCAACGATGATTGACACGGAATGCAGCGACCATCGTACTAACGTTAACCGGACTTAAATATGCTTGGTTATGGGAAGAAATAATGAAACAAACCACTCATCGGCATCAATATTGAACCCAAGAATGATTTAAATACTGTATGTCGAATCGAACATTTACAAATAGGCTATAAATCCACGTTACGAGGAAGTACTGATCCGGACAGAAAACAGCCAGTAGCCACAAGCCGGCTCGCAAAGCACAGACACGGTCACAAAGCAAGTTTTGCCATTGTGGCGTAATAATTTCAACAGAAATGATATGAACCGTTTCATTATCCAATCAATGACCCTTAAGTATATAAAGTCCTGGACCTCTCCTTTGTGTTTCTTGCTAAAAATAAAACATAGAAGTGATATTCCAACTGACCTATTGCGATCCCAGTTGTTTTGCAGAGGCAATTTACAGAATAATTGATTCCGGTAATACCAATTAAGCTTGTCCAATTGAATATTGTAAACCTATTGCGGAAATAATTTATAATCGATCAATGTCCTATGAACCGCCCAAATATCCTGTCTGCGCATCCTTTTCGAAGGTTAAATTACATACTACATTCAATTAGATTGAAAATAATTCTGAGCAAGTTTTTTGATGCAACAAGTTTTGCTGAAAATAAAAATCAGAAATCATTTTTTCAGGGATATGAAACCCGCAATAAATTCATTGCAAGTCAAGGACCTTTGCCGAATACCGTGAATGATTTCTGGAGAATGGTAATTGAGCAAAAATGTACTGTAATTGTTATGTTAACCGGGTTGTTAGAAAGAGGGAAGGTGGGTACTGAATTTATCTTTGAACAACGCATAAATTGCTTTTTCATATTATTATTGAATGTGTTCAAACACGTGTCAAAATTGCACGATATAGCAACAAATGGGTTTATCATTGTCATTCTCGTAAAACATATTTTTAAAAATATTCCTTTAAATATACTTTTATGAAATCGATAATAGCCAATTTCACAGAGTTAAAATTCATTTAAAAGCTTTGGCGGTTGGTGAACGACAAACTTTCTCTACTTAGTCGTTTAGCGTATCATAAATTGAGACATTGTTGGTTAATATTTTCACCAGCTTACTTATGACTACAACTCTTATGTTTAATTTATTTCCAGAAAAAGTGTGAAAAGTATTGGCCAGATGTTAACAGAACAGCATCGTATAAATCAATTTTTGTAAAGACTGTCAATGAAGAACATGTTGGAAGTAATATAAAAAGAACGTTTGAAGCTACTTCTACTGATGGGGTAAATCTACAACAATAAAGTATAACTTCGTTTCATATCTCCAACAAAAAATGCCAATATCGCTTACTATCCTGTTCTGGATGAATTTGCAGTTACAAGTATTGACAGTTGTCATATCCGGATAAGCTTTATCAAAACATCTCGTAAGGTTCGAATACCGAGGCAATGATTATGTAGCCTACGAGTTTACCATTGCAGTATTACCATTGTCATTGCAGAGTGATTCACGTAACAATTGATTAGTCTGGACTTTTATATCTCTCGAATCCAACTATCTGAGATCTTTTTAGATGCAGTAAAATCAATCTTATACTATGATTGTGCTGTGTAGTATATTCCGAATCAAACAAATTCAAACGATTCCACTGTTAGAAATACCGATTTTTTGTTTCAGCCGAAGCAAACCATAACTCATTTTCAATTTAATACATGGCCTGATCACGGAGTCCCTGTAACAACATCAGGGTTTTTCAGACTTCATAAAGCAGTTTCTGAAATTAATTGTTCAACACCGATAATAGTTCATTGCAGGTAAAGGACGAACCTGTTGAAAATAACGTATAAATTAATTGAAAAATAAAGGGTGCTCCCGTAGTATGTACACCAAGATGGCGCACAGTCTGAACATTATCTGTATTAGATTATGGTTCAGGTTGTGCGCCATGTTGGTGCACATACTACGGGAGCGCCAAATAAAGATCTTGTCCCATTCAGTTTTGTTAGCACCATCTTAATCACCAAACTTTACGTTACATATTGATATTATATCTTGAACAATATATATCTTCGAGACTATCAAAATCATTTTTTTGCAAAACTACAAAATACTCACAAATACAGTTTTTAACCTATTGATAAGACGTGCATTTTAAATAAATTCCAAAGTAGCCATCTTCTGTATTGGTTTTAGACCAGAGCTTCTTAACTTTGCAGATACCTTGTTATAATACTCAATTGGAAATGACAATAATATACGAGAGTTGCTAGATTCCAAGTTCGGCGATATTAAGACTCAAGGACTTAGTTAATATCGTGATTTAGAAAACTGTAGTCAATATTTAATATATTTATTTTACAGTGCTGGAGCCGGGAGAACCGGTACGTACCTTGCGTATGATTATCTCCTGAATCAAATTGAGAAAGAAAACGCTATTGATGTTTATAAATGTGTTCATACATTGAGAAAACAAAGAGTAGATATGGTCCAAAACGTGGTATGTAAATCACTGCATATTTAGTATAAAATCAAACAACATTGAATATATATTACTCTCACTACACTTTTCGATATGTTAAATTTCTTCAATTAGGTTTTGTTCGTCTTCCACTTTTATCTGCCATTTAAGGAATGTAACGAATAGCTTATCTGGTATTAATTTTCAAATTCCAGTGAGTTCATTACTATGTACCCCACAAATACCTAGAGGGAAAGCCTTCATTAATTTCTTCTCACATCACATACGAACTTTGTTTATAATCAATGTTCCCTCTAAAGTGTGCGCGCTTTCAGAGGCTGCGCACAGGCATAGATTTACTGCGCACAGACGTATTTCGATGTAATGTAACAATGTTCTTGAATGGCAGCTTGAGAATGTTTGTTGTTGGCCCACCCATTACCCGGTTAGAACGCCAAAGTTTCTGAATTGGTTTTTGCACAAATGTTAGTCATTTCCAAAAAAGTGCGCACACAACAAAATTTCTGCTACACAAAATTCTAGGGAACATTGTTTATAATCACAGGAGCATTTTATTTACAGGACCAATATATCTTGGTGCACAAGCTATTGGTTGAACATTATGTCTTTGGTGACACAGATATGGATGAAGAACAGCTTCGACAGTTGATGCAAAGGTATAATGAAAACTTGTGTGAATTCAGAAAACGATGTATTCTATTGCATTTTATCTGTCATTTCGACCCTTACAATGATTTGGAGGTTGAATTTTAAACTACAACAACGTGAACAAAAATTTCCAGTCCATGGAACATATTTTTCTGTCCCATCCCATACCAACTTATTCCTGTATTATCTAATTCCAAAGGACAGGCCTGCTGGTGTCCCACCACAAAATAAAAGATAGATATAAATATACGAAGAAAAATATTTGAAAGGTTTAAGTATAAAGACTGGTTGGCTCTGACGTAATCAGGTTGCTATATCATGGTTACTGTACCACAGAAAATACGGATGTGTGCTGTCCCGTCACATCCCACGGATTATTGCCCATGGAATTTCGAAGGGAATCTAATTCCCATGAGCAATACTAGCAATCCACCGAGACGGTTCTTACGACGGTTCACTCAGTGTACAATAAAGATATCTTGGTCCAGAATGCGCAAGATTTAAATAGAGAATCTTCAAAACAAGGAGACTAACATATATTTTTTAAATATATTTAAAGCGAGAACGCGGATCAACTTCTACTAGAATTCCGAAATCTGTCAGAAATACAACCGATGAATTTGAAGAAAGATGGCGAGGAAGAGAAGTACAGAAAAATGAATCGAAATCAAAATATAATTCCATGTAAGCGTGTATTGCAATAATCACATTGGTTGAATTTCATAACACTTGTAATTGTCTTCAAAAATAACTAACAATGTCATAGAATGTACAAATAATATCGATACCAGTCAATAAAATTTACTAGTAAATGAAATTTGAACTTAATAAAACGGTGATTGAATTTTGTATAGATTGCAATGGAAGTTTCCGCGTGGCGGAACCATTCTTTAGGAAAAGGTTACGGTTGCAGGGTGATAAGTTGAATGATTGTTTCAAATGAAACTTTCCATAGATCGTTTTGAGTTTTGTGATGTGTGTGCATTTGCCATGGGCTTTACGCGAGTGGTATTTTTGACTCTTTGACAAGATAATAATAACGTATATTTCGCATCGGAAATTTTTTTCTATTAAACAAGCATAATACTTAATAAAAACGGCGCGAATTCACAGTCTTGCTAAATATCTTCCAACAGTTTATTTTTATATGAAATAAATAAACTCCCAAATCACTGTAACTAAGAAGTTCTGATTCATAAAATAAACTTATACTTTATTCATAGACAACCGAAACAAAGTCGTAATAGTTCGAATGCCAGAAGACAAAGAAACATCGTACATCAATGCTTCTATTATGGAGGTAACATTGCTGGGTAGGGTCAGGAACGTAATTACGGATACAGCAAAAATTTATGTATATACAGCCAATGTTGTATGTAAATATACCAACCGAATATACATAATTAGAAAACTGAGCATACATATGCAACCATTTGAGGGATGTACACACCCGTTCAATGTCATGTACGTGTACAGCCGATTCATTTACATATAGAGCCAATGCAACATACATATACAGCCAATGTTGTATGTATATAAGCCGCCAACTGAATATACATATACAACCATTTGAGTAGTTTTTGTTCGACACTTTCGTAATCCCAAAATCACATAACCCAGATGATAGGAAACCAAATGTCGTTTTTTGACTCTATTATAAACACATTAACTACAGTTACAAGTGAAGGGAATGTGCTACAAAATCTCTGTCTGTACTGGAGAAATCACAGATATTCGATATATTTCTCACTTCATAACGATAGGCTATCTTTAATGTAATTTAGTACCAAAAATTTTCACAATAAAACCTACATATAACTTCTAGGAATCAAATTACTGGAGTTATGTAGCCCTTTAATTAACGATTCTTTCAGTCGTATGAAGGAGGAGACAAAGTGATCGCTGCCCAAGGACCGATGAGATCAACTGTCGAATATTTTTGGCGAGCAATAATGGACACCTGTGTGAGTGTTATCGTTATGCTGACTCAAGTAATGGAAGGAGAACAGGTGAGGATAGATAGGATAGGATTCCATATAGAGAGAAAATTGTTATTCCCGAGAGGGCAATGCCGGGGTGGAAATCATATAGGGATTTGTTCATGAAGAATTCGTTTTAAGACAATTGTTTTAAAAATTGTTGGTTTTATCGATATGTTGCCTTAAACATTGAAGGTGAACATGTACGAAGATATAACATCCCATATAAAACCTTAAAATCTACCCCCGAGGGAGGAAAGCTGACAAGGTGACGTAATCATATGTTAAATCATGGTCTCAAAAACGGTTTGAACAAAACATGACGCAATTGGAGTTTACTAGTCTGTTTAATTTGTTTTTGTGCAATGGGCGTACGGTATGTTTGATACCGAATATAGGAGCAACAAATATTACTATTAGTTTCTATGACTAACATTCAATGAAGCTAAAATCTTTTTAATAACGTCAAAGCTGTCTAATTGTAGTCTAATTCATTTTGATATTCAGCAGAAAATGCTAGTTTTTTGAATTTTTATAATATTGAAAAAAAAAATAAAAATTTTGTTAGGAGTAAACAAAACTTCAAATTAATCTAATGTCGGCATAAAAGATATGAAAAAAAATAAATATTTAATTTTTTGCTTTTTTAGCAACAATGCTTCCAATATTGGCCTGATAAAATCGGCAGCAAATTGCAATTTGGCAACATCGGAGTTGAATTGATTGAAGAAACGTTTGAAAATGAAATCATCGTACGAAGACTTATTGCCACGAGAGATAAACAATCAAAGGTTTGTATATTGAGAATGATAGGAAGTAATGAACTACACTAAGAAGCCTGTTTTCTGATCGCATTGGCTTGAAGTCAGTCGGTGTTTACTGCGCCTCCAAGTTTTTTTAAAGTTCCAGTATCTCTAAGCATTTCTTCAGTCGTTCACTACTCCGCAAGATGAGAATCTTTGAGAAAATCCCTTCAAATTGTATTTGTATTGTGGTGAGTTGAAACAATTGACTCCACGTAAATGTTTTCCAATGGACATTTCAATAGTTTTTATGACGCTTGTTTAAATCAAAGCATAGCTAATACTGTACCCTTATCATAGCTTATAGATCCTTTTTTTTAATTACTTTGAGTACATATTCGTGTCTAAACGTTTGGACATACTCGCTCAAACTTTATACAAAGTTCTAAATCTGAAGTTTGAGAATTTAATCTTTTTTACGTTTTTGCACGTATTGCGACAAACATTACGTATAAAAGCCTTACAAATATACTTTAGGTTCAGGTTTGTCGGTAGCTTTGGTCCAACTTAGTAATTCCAAAATTCTGTTCAGTAGCCTCCAAAATGTCTATTACCTGAATGCCAAGATACCACAGCAATATTCAGCTTTTATATTGTTTTTGTTGGAAATGACAGTTTAAATAAGTGGAGCTAGAATTTGAAGTGGGAAACCCATAAAATATTACAAGAATCCACGAGCCCAAGTAACAATTACAAACACGAGTCCAGCTCAAACTCATACGTTTCAATTCTATTTCAGCCTGTCATGCATTACCAGCATCCGAATTGGCGTTCAGAAAGATCTCCCGATATCTCATCCGTGTTGAACTTGGTTTCAATTTTCCAAAAGTTTCCACGACAACAGAAGCTCGTTCACTGCAGGTAAGGCATCTCATGCATATTCAATAACAAGTTCTAACAACTCCCCTTTTGCATTTTGTGCATTACCAAAAACGAAATTTTGGATCACTTCTCGTCGTATCTAACAGAATATTGTACCTATCGGACACGAAATGGACCTATGAATTGTTACTTATCAATTTTAATCGGTAAGTATGTTGATAGGTATTTGTCTGTCTGTCTGTCTGTCTGTCTGTCTGTCTGTTAAATGCACGCGATCTCTCACGAAAGCGAGATTGATTCTGCTCCAGATTTTGCATGTGCATTCATCATATGTCGGACCAGAAGCCTATCGATTTTGGATGATTTATGTCGTATAATTAGCGAGTTATAGATTAATTAGTGATGGGACACAAGGTTGCCACTATGGAGTAAGAGCGCTGTTTTAGGGGATTCCCTAACTTTCGATCGATAAGTCTTCGGTCTCTGACCGATATTCTCGTTTCGTTGTTGGTATTGTTAAAATTTTTGTTGTGAAAATATCGCCTTTCCATTCTCTGGACCAATTGCTTTGGAATTTCCGGTGGTTAAAGATTGTATTTGCCGCAAGAAGGCTAATTTTATTTATTCTTCAGTTTGAGTAATGCAATGAGATCGTATATTTCATCCAAAACTTCGCTGTTTCATTTTTATTTATGGCAACACCGTTTACTTTGCCGACCGTGACAGCTTACGTCATGATTTTCCTCGGTTTGGAGATATCGATTTCAAGCTACCCGGAAGTTGGAGAGGTTTTAAAAAGGATTCTATAAACAACCCGGTGCTAGTGTACTGTCCTTGGGCGTGGTTAATAATTTTTGCTTATATCATTTATTTGCATGCTCCCCACCTGACTACGTCAATCAAAAATTACGTCACTGGAAGCACTTGTGGCATTAAAGAAAAGATCCAAAGGCATGAAGTTTGAAAATTGTGTGTTAAATTATGTTTCAGTCTTCGTGTTCATATATTTGAGCATTGCTATCTTGTTTCACATGCAATCAGTTTGAAAATTTGCTGCTGTTTTTAGATGAGTGTGGACTATCGTAGCTATGGGTTGTGAAATTCAGGTTCATTCCGGTGTTTGGACACAATTTGAGTTAGTGCGCTTGTTAGATTTAATTAATATTAAACATATACACACAAACAATTTTGTTTATGTGTACATATCTACATATTTTTGAAAGTGGCAATATTTTTGCTATTACGTAATATTGTAAAGAATTTAAATTTATTTTTATAGTGATGGAGCAGGACGCACTGGCGTATTTTGCGCAATATACAATTTGTGTGAAAGATTTAAAGTAGAAAAACGAATCGATGTTTTCCAAACTGTAAAAGACTTGCGAGACTGTAGACCCGGAATGGTTCAAATAGAGGTAAACTGTATAAATATTTACTAGTGTTTTTCATCTGTGACTAAAACGAATAATATAAATCAAGTTACTGCAAATACACTTTCGATATTAAATACTTTCGATACATTGAGGAACAGTAATAATTTTATTACAGCAGTAAACTGAGTAAATTTACAAATTTGGATATCAGTGAAAATATTAAGTCTTGTTTTAGTATTTTATTTGTCGGCATGAGTACAAATTTTGTTGAGTCTGCTGATGATTCCTTGAATGAAATAAAATTTTCGTCGTGACTAATCGAAGCAACATGTTAACAAAAGCATTAGTTTTATCCCTGTTAACTAACCCATATGTGGTTTTGGATGAAATATAGAAAAAAAATAATCGCGAAATGTTGCGATATGTAAATATAATTTGCTCCCAAATCAGCTTCCAATAGCAATAGAATAAAAAAAAATTAATAAATCTAAAAATACAGAAATGAAGAATTCCATAAATAGGATATTCTATTTTGATATTATTTGATTAGGACGTAAAAATATCAATTATGAAAACACTGAGTTTTTCCCTTTTTCTAGGATGATTATAAACTTTGCTACGATATTATGATGGCATATGTTGATTCATTCAATCTGTATGAAACCATAAACCGTCGTTCACAAGAAGTATCTGGTTCGGCAGGCAATGAAAACCTGTATGAAAATATAAGTGCGATTAGGAAAGCAAGATGAAAAACAACTATTATTGTTTGATTAATGTTTTGCTTTATTCATACGCCTTGGTATCCACCTCAAATATTCATGCGTATATGCAAGTAGAATAATATAATGAAATTTCTTAATTAGCATGGTCAAGAATTTTTTAATCTATGCATATACGAAACATAAATGTTCTTACTAAACTTTGTATACTTAATCTTCATGTCTAATCATCTCAAAGGCTATTTTGTAAATTTGTGTGTATGCAAAATGAGTAAGCAAGGCATTCTGTTACACATTCTTACGACGTTTCTTATCTATGCATATACATGAAAAGATGTTCTTATTAAACATGTTTACTTAATCTTAATGCCTTTAATATTTTTGCGTATTGTATTTTATAATTTCTTCATACATATTTATTATTTTCTATCGATGTTTCAAAGTTCTGGTAAAAATTTTTATATAGGTATGTCTGAAATGAATATTGACAAATTACACATTTATCAAAAATAATATTAAATCTGCAGCATACATAATTTTTATCATTTTTAGCTCATCTTTTATAGGGAAATTTAGACAGAGCTCAACTGAGCTATTCTGTGATCATTTAAACCAGAATTCAGCTTTCCTCACTGCAAGGTCATATCGCATTTGACTCGTAATTTATAGAAATTTCCTAAATGAGCAATCTGTTCGAAACTGGCTGAACTCAGCTTTCCAATATATGTAATTATTTTAACTTTTTCGTTATTTTTGTTATATGCAAACTGTTTTTCAATGTCTTATCATCGCTGCTATAGATTTTGTTTCGTTTTGTTTATATATAATATTGCAATAGGGATTTTCGTTGATTTATATAAACCATATTTACTCTATATCTATATATATATATATATATAGTATGTATCTCTTATTATTATTTTTTAGAATCTTTGAATTCATGAGTATCTAGATTAAAAAATCCGTAGCAGTTTGGAATTGGAAGTTACCCAAAATCAAATTTTCTCAAATATACTTTCAGTTTTTTATTTTTTATTTTATTCCTCTACTATGAGTATTTTTATGCAGTTAAAATTTTTTTTTTGTTCATCCGTATTTTACAATTTTAATATAATATATGTCCTTGTGTATATTTATAAATTGTCTACAATTTTATTTATGACGCTGTTGATTGCTGTTATAAACTTATGAAACTCATTAAATTCTTTAACGACTAGGCGTAGTGCGCTATTTAAATGACATAGATAATGCTCACACTGACTTCCAAATTCGAATATTTCAATATAACTTTTAAAACCAAGGTAGAATTCAATTGGGTTATTATTAGGGCTGGGTATTTAGAATCGGTTCAGACAAAAACTCGGAATCGTCGCCATCTTTTTTTTTTTTTTCAAAGTTCGGGGTGAATTCCTCAATATTTTTTTATTGTAGCTTTTTTGTTAAATGCAATTCTGACATACGCCTTTTTTCTTCCGAGTGAGTATTTTATGAAACATGTTTCCCATGCTCTCAGTAAATTATGTGATCGCAGGACCCATCACATTAAAAAGTGACAAACAATAACATTTCTTTCAAGTATTCGAGATTCGATTCGAAATACATTCGATTAGATTCTGAAATCATCAGATATTCGGAAATGTCCAGCCCTAATTTTTCCTAGTGACAGTTCATTTTCGATAAAAGACTTCTAAAATTTGACTATCTTTGAGTGATGAATTCCATGCTTTCAGTAATTTATGTGTTCGGAAGACCCAATCCTGACTTCTATTTCGAAGACGCGGTCAAATATTTTTCAAGTATCAAGTTAATTAAGGCACTTCGTCGAGTCCAAATTTATTATTGTGCTGTTCGATCCTAGGACAGATATATTGAACAGATTTAACCCAGACTTCTACACTCGAAGTACGCCTCGCAACTCACAAGATAAGGTATTATGTCCTCGATCAATCAACACAGAGTGACGTGTTTCAGTGTATTGTATTACAGTGCACAAAATAACAGAAAGACAGACACTACAATTATGATTTCATGAGTGAGGGTTCAAAGTTGTGAATTATCGATTATGACTTATGAAAGATTGTATATCAAAAGTATTGAGATATGCTTGTCATTCAGAATGAATTATCTGTGGTCCCAGTTTGTATACATAAAATCTGTCAAATACTCGATATTTAAATACAATTTATTTTAATAGGAAACAACTTTTGAATCATTCCTCTTTTAAAAAAACAAAACCTAGCATAATGTGCATTAGTGCAAAAATGCCACATACATTGTATTACAACAGTTATTTGACCAGCATATAACATGCATTATATTATCCCAATTGTCCATGCACCTAAGGTAGTCGACTATTGGGATCGGACTCATTACGATAGCTACGCTCTGATACTGATAATGTCAAACGCTTTAGTAACTTATTGCTGATGAAATACAGTTTATTTAATTTCAATAAATTACTTCAATAAAACTGTTTTTATATTTACGAATACATCGTAAGCAATTACGAGAACTAGCAAATATGAAATTGTTGTATTTTAAATCATTTTTGCTAGTCATTTATTTTCTTATGTTCGTTAATTGGAAGGCAACGAAAAACGCTCGAAAATGTATAAAAAAGACTCCAAGGACCCCAAAAATTTCATGCATCAATAATAAATTATCAAAAATGTTGGCAATAAAACCTGCACGAATGCTACAAATATTCAGCGCATTTTTGAATATTATTTCGATAATATTTGTTGAAGCAAGGTCTCGAGAATTCACTCAGAATTAAAATATTGAAGATAATGATTCCCTGGCGGAGATACTGCCGAGCACAGGAATGAAAGGAGCTACAGACACTATAAATATAGTTGAAAACTATTACTGAATTAACCGCATAACTAAATTAGATTTTCGTGTGTTTAACAGATATATATATATATATATATATATATATACGGTAATATCACGTATCAACATTTATTTTGGCAATTAAATCTAGATTCTAGAATGAATTCATTTTTAAAATATTCTGTAATTATCTACAAATAAGTATTCATGTATAAACAACGACAAATTTATACGAATTTGAAAATGACGAAAATTTAGATAAGATTTTTCACGCTGTTTCTTGGACTAATGATTAATTGCAGATTAATGAAAAGATCGGCAGGGTGTCTCTGGGAAGATGGTCTAACTCTAAGATCAACACGATTTTGAACCTGCAACCACAAGAGCAATATAGTCAGCAGTTCTACAGCGGGTATCTTACAAACGACCCAACCACAGAGTTATTAATATTGTACAAACTAAATGAAATATCTTTCAAATGAGTTTCGTTGACTACGGGAATGTATCCTAAACTTTTTATTGCATTAATGCAAGGTTTCTGTATCGCTTCCACATCTACAAATTGTTCTTCCAATCTCCAAGAGTTTAAAACTTTCTTTGAATCTCTCGAAGTTCCAAAGAACTTTCCAGAGATATTTTTTTCTGTATGTTTTGTGTTATTTGTTGCGGCAATGCTCGTGTGATCTGATATCCATTCGGCAACGTTCGCATCAAAATTGATTCCAACGAATTTATAAACCAGTTCAAGAGCATCGAACGGTCTTTCACTAATATATTCATGAGTTAAGCGCAGGTAACTATTCTTCCAAGCATTAGAAATCGTACTGTTGCAAGCAAACGGAAGGTTTGAGTTACTGGAATTATGGCGTTTGATGCAGTTTTTAACATAAAGTAAGTTTCTATCATAAAATCTGCACAAATATTCAGCTGATTGTTTGTATTTCAAAGTTTGGTTTGATATTTTTGATTCTGATTTATTATTTCCCGACATTTTTATTCGCGATGGAACAGCTGGCCGAGGATCTCTGAATAGATGCAAAACTTTAAGATCAAGTTCTGGATCCAAAAGAAATTCTTCTAGATCGCTAAGATGATATAATCTGACGACTTTAAATGCAATTGCTATACTTTGACGACAAACTTTTGATAATACGTTTATGTCCAAGACATCCACACCACAAAACGGATGTTTGTTTTTACAAAGATTTGTATTTCTCCATAAAAAACTGCTTCGTCCAGAGAAACACACATTTGATTTGCATTTGACCCATTCGGCTTCGTTACTTCTCTTTCCGTAAATTTTTTCCACTTCAGAATAATTACATTTCAAAAGATTTTTCAAAAGTTTTATCCGGTCATTTTCATCGCCTAGTAACGGCTCAAATAAATAATAAACTGCAGGGTGTTGATTGAAGTATTCACCAAAAAATGAAGATCCCGTTCGGAATCCGGCAAATATTACAACTGCCTTTTGTTTGCAAGGCTTAAATTGTAGTTCCGTTATATTTGGTTTTGTAATGTCCCTCACGTATTCCTTTGTCGTTAACTCTGATGTTGATGCAACTTCTACTACTTTACGTTGATATTTGAGGTTCTCAAGATTACTTTGGTGTTGATAGCTAATCAATATAAATATTATGACTATGGAGACGAGAACAAGAGTCACTAAGAATCTGTTGTATGTTTTGCTTTTGAAATATATTGAACCCATTTTATGTGAAATTAGATATTATCTGTAAGAACTAGAATTGGTTAAAGTTGTCTACTGACATTTCTATAACAAGGATAAGTATATAAACCATCTTTTCCTTTCCTCTTGGTCGCTGGGTACATATTTAGAATTTATCCTTTTTAATTGTGGATCGCAACCTTTCGCAACCAGCAAAGCGGATTGATGTAAATGCGAAAACATTACAACATGAAATCTATCCCAAGCTGGTACTATAGCATGAGCTCTACCGCACTATTGCATAACTTGATGTCTGCCACACCATTATCCATACCTTACAAATATCACTTCACTTCTATAACTTCTTTTTATATATGGTCTGACCCTAACGCAGCGGACTCCATACCTCATCTAGGTAAGCGACATGTGGTGAATTTGTCACGCTATAGTAGCAACAGATACATATTTATGTTTTTGTTGTATGACGGCCCTGCATTATGCCTCACGCCCGACGAGTTAAGTCTATTTCGTCATTTTATAAATCATTATTAGGTATCGCCTGTCTTTTTGTTGCATTTTATTTGCCATTGTTTGTCCTTGTTTATCGTTGACTAATTTTATACATTCCAGCTACTCAGTGCAATATAAACTGAATTACACAAAGGAAATACACAGGGTTACCATATTTTTTTGACTTCAAAGCGGGACGCCTCCAAAGACACGACCCCTTAGCTGTGATTCTGTAACTTTACAGTTTCAGATTTTACTACATAGGCCTATATTTAAAGCCATCCCTGGCTGTCTTTATTGATCATGTTGCCATCGAGAGTTCATGCGCATATTCTCTGTCTAAATATATATCCGGTTCAGTTCGAAAAATAGGAAGGAATAGGCGTAAAGAATAATGAAATAGCCTGCTGTTTTCAAGCATTGAGAATTTACCTATTCGCCCAAGCATGCTTTTCTGTAGATAACACCTTCAAATAGACGTTGTTCGATGTTACGTGAACGTCCGAACAGGACCAATTAAAATTGATTTTACATGTGATACGTTTGCTAACAATGATAGCGGGGAAACCAACAAAATAACGCATTCTACTTCAGTAAGTAGGCTAGCGTTGCGCTACACAGCAACAACAGTAACAAAAACATGTTCGTGTATTATGCTGGATGGCTGAATGCCGAAGCGGGACTTCTGGCTGACTTGTCGGGACGGCGGGACAAGACACTAAAAAGCGGGATTGTCCCGCCTAAAGCGGGACGTATGGTAAGCTTAGAAATACACCAACTTTCTACCTCGTTCTCAAACGAATTAAACTAATACTAAACGTGATTATCCCGTTCTTCAAGATTCAAACAAGGTCAAAGTTAAATATTAACTACGCTTTACATTTTAATGTCTACAAGCTTCTGGCGTTATAAGCTTGTCTATGTCAAATATCTCAGACCGCATTGCGATTTCCAGTCCGTATTGAGATATGATCAATATTTGGAATAAATCATCTTTGGTCCCAGTATGTATCCATTAAAACTGTCAAATCCTCGATATTTAAATAAAATTTATTTTATTGAATTAAAAAATTTTTTTGAATCATTCCCCTTCTGATAAGTAAATATAGCATAATGTGCATTTGTGCAAAAATGTTACATACATATATTAGAACAGGTATTCTACCAGAATATACCATACATTATCCAGATTGTCCGTGCACCTATGGTGTTTGATGTATTGTCGTTTTGTTTTTGACCGCGTGAAGCGCTTCGAAGTTGTGTATAAAATACTACACGCTACATATTTTTGTTTTAGGAAGATTATTTAGATGTCTAAAACGATCATATTGCAATACTAAACTTATTCGCTTTTATACGGAAGCGATATTGTCAAAAACACGTACGTTTATATTTTAGACACGCGCGAGAATTAACATTGCGTTTTCGAAACGAATGGAAACCTGTGTATAGGTACACAGCCAAGGCACCGTCGGGCAATCAATATCATACTTGTCAAAATCCCGATTACCCAATAGGGAAACGTTACTCTGAATATTCGGTCATTAAAGGGGTCAGGTGTCTCGTTGGGTTATCGTCAAGATACCTAGAGGCGTTGCAATGAACATATGAATACTCAAGACTTCCAAGAACACAGTTGTATTGTTAAATACACAGTAATAAATACAGAACAGTATAATAGCAGCATGCAGCATCAACTCATAAACTCCAATGTGTATCGCGCATGCCTTGTGCGCATGTTACAGTTCATTACTTATGACGTCATAAATATATTCGCGCAAAGCATTATTATGGCAATAAATCATTATATGACATCATCACGACACATCAGGGGTAGCAAAATAACAAAACAGCATAAATTATTGCAGACCGGCAAAAACCCCGGCTGTGGACCAGCGGTTGGGACCACTGGTTCAGCCTACAGGGTGGTCAACTACTTATCCAGATGAAACATGGTAAAAAAAACTATAAACAGGGAAGTAATATTGAAGTAACACTATGTAAGTATCCCTCAATTGCATTTATTAATTAACCAGCGCCAATGGTACTTTCTAACTTTCAAATTCTAGTGACTTGTGTGCGCATGTTCAACAGAAGTTGGGCGACCCCGGAAAACTAAGACGCGACCCAACCCGGGGTCGTGATCCACAGTTCGGGAACCACTGTCTCAGTACATACAGTATCTAGATTTTATCCATCCGCTCTCATTCCTCTTTTAACTTTGGATTGCAACTTTTGACAAAACTTGCACACACAAATATCTGATTATTTCTCATTAATCATGATTATGCGAGATTCGGCTGCAATTTATTGATAAAAAGATATAAATTGTAGTGATTACCTAGATCATAGGATCTCAAAGTGCTCCGTACGGAGCCCCAGGGCTCCGCGAGAGAAGCCTAGGGGCTCCGCGAGCTATTTGATTACTTTTCAAAGGACTGACTTGGCTAATTTTGTAACTGTTCAAAGAAGCAATAACAGCTTTGATAAAATTTGACAACAGTATAGCCTCGAAATATGGAAAAGAGGCGGAATTCAAAAATGACATTATTTATAAGCAGGTGCGCAGCCAGGATTTTTAAGAGGGAGGGGGGATCAAAGTTGGAATCGGAATTGTTCGCGCAACATTCTTCGCGATTAAGAAAAAAACTTTTTCAGTGGATAACGAGATTTCTGTTGCGTAAAATATTCAATCCATGACTGATGCGAGCATTTAAAATGTCCTGTCATAATAATTTAATTGTGCTCATCGTTACTCACGTTTGATTCAAGATTACTATGAGGATTACTTAAATAAAAAATTACTATTCTAAAATAACATAAAATACGTGATAAACTGAATATAATACAAATGAATTGGAATCGTATTTTTGCGATCTTGGGATTTTTCAAACTTGATTTGTTCCTTCGCACTCGAGATTATTTTTAAGCATGATATCGCCGTTACAAAAATCCCGAGGTCGACGTTAAAACTCAATGTTCTCGTGGGGAAATTATGAGTTCAATGTAAAAAAACATGTTAATTAAAAATATAATCATCGACGAAGTGCTAAAAATAGTTAATGAAGAATCAGCGGTAAATATACAATATACAATTGTGCAATCCATGACCGATGCGGGCATATTTCAAATGATTTGTTTATTGGGTTAATTGTGTTCAATGTAACCTGCGGTTGTGTGGACTCACAACAAATATCATTACTTCTCAAATTACCATGGCAATCTGCGGATATGGAATGAGAAACAATCAAACAAAGTTAAGTGAACGAAGTTCTTGTGGACTACCGTACATCCTGAACAACGCTGTTATAATGAGATATTAGAAACAAAGTCATATTGCCCACAAAAGAACATATATACCTACTACCGGTGCCAGAAGTTTGATAAGATATTTGTGCCCTGCCGATCAAATCATAATCGTAATTATGACTACTGATTGCGTGGCAGTGTGGTAGATTATAGCGATTTAGCGAATTCGACAAATTTGAGCCCTTCTTGCAACACTGACTTCACCCTCTCGCAGGTCTACCACTCAGGTTCTTTGCAAGATATCACCGTTTAAAAAATCACAAGGTCTGGGCAAAATACGAACGATTGTAATTTGGGTTATTGCATGCGGCTCCGTTGGTAGTCTCAGAATGGATAAAAGGTACATCGCGCACACAATTGTGACTGTGTATCGGTTTCAGTTACCACTATGAATAACCAAAGAAAACCTAACATAACACCAAAAATTGCCATTTACAATGTCTAAAAAAGCGTTTTAAATCTGTCGTGAGTCTGCTGAAACAAACCTTATAGTGTTATCTTCCGTTTTGAGTTTTAGTTTTTATATTTCATAATGCCGCTCTCCAATCAAAAAATTTGAGTTGCGGATTCACCGCCGATTCTTTATTAATTATTTTTAGCATCTCGTCGCCGATGATCATATTTTTAATTAACATGTTTTTTACATTGAACTCATAATTCCTCACGAGAACAAAAAAGCAATTATTGTCGTCATTGTGGAACAATACATGTATATGCCGAAGGAAATTTTTGATTTAAGGAGAATAAACACCGACGTAAAGATGTTTAAGGTTTGACGTTTCACGCTGACGAAAACAGTCGGCTATTGTAACAAAATGCAATCGCGCAGCGACCTTTTAAGTCTCACAAAAATACCAAAAGGAAAAAGATTCGACCCCTAATTTATTAATATGTTTGGCAAGTGTCAAATTTACAGTCTTAATATATATAATTAATCTCTGAAATTTAGTTTTATTTATGACTTGTATTAACCATATTAAAAAAGGGTAGCATTTAAATTAAGTAAAGTACTTTTAACTTACTCAGGAATATTAATCGGCAAGTAACAATTTTAGAATTTATTTTAGGGCTCCGTGAATAATAGTCAAGCTCTTCACGGGCTCCGCAACACCAAAAGTTTGAGAACCCCTGACCTAGATAATTCGAGTGGATCAGAACAAAACATAAAAATCGTTGCGTTCAAACTTGTAATTAAAAAACACCATTTTTTTACCAATTTAAATTAAACCATTTACGAAGCGCGAGTGTTCAGTTAGCATAGA